TTTTTTTTTTTTTTTTTTTTTTGGCCACACTGTGGGGTTTGCGGGATCTTAGTTCCCCAGCCGGGAATGGAACCCGTGCCCCGGAAATGAAAGCGCCGAGTCCTAACCACTGCACCACCAGGGAATTCCCTAGCCTGGACTTCTTGATGTGGTGGCAGTGACAGGGGTCCCCCGGGTAGCAAGACAGGAAGTCCCGATGCATGAGCACTTTTCAAGCCTCTGCCCATCATCTTTGCTGTTGTCTCAGTAGCCAAGCAGATCCCATGACCAGGTCTAGAGTCAGGATGAGAAGGGACAAACCAAGGGCAGGGCTGCAGAGAAGCTGAACAGACTGGGGGCATTAATGGGCCAAGCTGGTTCCGGAGCTAAGACGTTTACCATCACAGCCCCCAAGGTGTAAACAACTAATAGTCTGCTCCAGCCCCTCCAGGGTGGCAAAACTCAAAGCCTCTCAATTCCAGCCCAAGGGATTCTACCCTGCACAGACCCCCACTGTCTCTCCTCCCCAGGGACCCAGAAGTCTAGGCTTCCAGCTCCAGTCAAAATCCCAAGCATCTTTTTTCCCCTTTAAACCCCAAAAGAACAGACACACAATGGAATTTCTACTTTTTTATTCACTCCTCCAAAAAGCACCACAGGCCAACCCACCCTTGATTCACCCGCCTTCATGGTTTCCTACCTCAGTGGATACACGTCTCTCCATCATTATGCAGACAAGTATGAAACTCAGCTAAGGTAATGAGGCTTTTGTGCCTCTTCTGCTTCTGGCGATGGCAACGCCAAGATTCACCATACTTTTCCTTGAATTTCTGCCTTCAAGGGCCTTCCAGCCTGCAGGTGACTTGTACACACACCCTGATGGCAGTCAGCAATCCATCCAAAGGGGAGCCTTAGTCTTTTCTGCTTGGATGCTCCCAGAGACAGATGCCTCACTAGCAACTTGCCGCCTCTACAGAGCCTGAAATTCAATCCCTTTAAAAGTCATGATTTAAAAGGCAACCACTCTAAAAGATAGTCGTGACACCCAAGAGTGCCAATATACAACTACATAAACACAATCAGCACGCCCCACAACGGACAGCGACACGCGAAAACCAAACTGGGTCTTGCTTTCTCAGATTTGATCTCAGGCATGATTCCCATTGGCATGAGGGCAGAGGGAATTTGGAACAGAGACACGTAGAGGGCAGAGATGTCAGACGGGACCAAGTTAGAGATGGTGGCAAAGCAGCACGAAGAGAGGAGGGCACTCCGAGCAAAGGCATGGGGGTGAGGCTAATGTTCGGGCTCCCAGTGTGCCAGCTTCCAGGAGGGGCTGCAAGTTCGTTGCTGTGCACGAGAGAATGCATGCACATACGTGCATACACTGAATTCTCACCATAACCCTGTGAGGGAGATGCCATTTGCTGAGTGACTTGCCCAAGGTCACCCCCAGGGTCAGTCAAAGGGCTTTCTGACCCTAGAGCAATGTGCACAGAGTTCCCTGTGATAATGGGAAGTGTTCTAGGGCAGTGCTGTCGAATACAGTGGCTACTCACCACGTGTGCCTGGTGCAACGGGGAAACTGAAGTTTACATTTTAGTTACTTCTGATTAATTAAAAAATTGCTACTCATCTCAGTTATTGGAAAACTGTCCAATATAATTGGGACAACTTGGGTATATGAATCGACTTCTCCAAATACGAGTTTTCTGAAATCTAAATTGAGGTCAGATATTTCTGATGAAAGTCTATCATCTGAATTGAGACGTGCTGTGAGAAATACACAGCAGACTTCAAAGACTTAGCATCAAAAGAATGTGAAATATCTCATTAGTAGTTTCCTATACTGATTACATGCTGAAATGATAACATTTTGGATATACTGAGGTAAAACACACTAGAATTAGTTTCACCTGTTTCCTTTTCCTTTTTTAACGTGGCTACTAGAAAATGTGAAGCTACCCGTGGGGCTCACATCCTGTTTCTATTGGACAGCGCTGCTCTGCGCGTCTCCTGCTTCTGCACGCGGCAGGCAGGCTTGATGCAGATGCTTGAACCCTGAACTTGAGGAGGGGACAGTGTTGTACTGGGTATTACAGATATGGATGAGGGACATTCTCCTAAGGCCAGAAGAGCTTTGAGGACGATGCTTGGAGCCATTCAGTATAGAGCCAAATGCTTTTCCCCATCTTGGCCATCTCAACTTTGATGGGACAGATTGTGCCGGTGATAGGAGTTCAAGGTAGACATGGTGGAACCACCCCTCGGACTGGTCACCCTTGCCTTCAGCTGTCAAAGGAAACAGGATCTCGGAAGTGTTTACTGTTCTTGTCCAGCCCTTTCATTTCACAGGTGGGAAAATAAGGCACTGGCCCAAGTCACCCGGAGTGACAGTGGCAAAGCTGTGTTTGCTTCCCAGGTCCCCCGACCTCAGACAGAAGCTTCCTCTCCCATGAGATACTTGTTTCTCCCCCATCTCACACCTTTTCCCCGTCTTGTGGCAAGAGGCTGACGACCTAAATTCCAGCACTATTTCTGCCACTGATGAATGAATTAAATATTTACTAAGCACCTTCTGTATGTTAAGCACTATTCTAGGTGCTGGGGGTGCAGCAGAGAACAGGACAGGTATGGGGGTAATAGCCAATAAATAGGTAAATAAATAAATAAGGTAATTTTCTACAGTAATAACTGCTACAAGGAAAAATAACCGGCCAAGACAAATAATCGGGGTGGGGGTGTGAGCCGCTTCAGTTACAGAGGTCAGGGAAGGCTTCTCTGAGGGGACACTTGAGCTGAGACTTGATTGACAAGAAGGACCCAGTTGTGGGAAGATCTGGGAGCACAGCATTCTAGGCAGAAAGAACAGAAAGTGCAAAGGTCCTGAGGCAGGATCCCAGGTGGCCCACTCAAGCATCAGAAGGAAGATCAGGTTGATTGGGGGGATGGGAGGGGGCAGGAAATAAGAACAGGCAGGGGCCTTGCTGCGTGCTGTTGGGCCTAGAGCCTGCCCTCTCTGGGCTTTGCTTTCCCCATCTAACATAACAGAGATTCTGCTGGATGGCCTCTCAGGTCCTCCCTTTCTGTTTTCGGCATTGAAGAGTTCTGTGACCTGTGGCTTCTCCTCTACTTGTAGCTGGCAGCCTAGAACATTCCAGGCACTGTGGTTTCTGCCTTTGCCTCACTGTGGCACATTCCCACGGTCTGGAACACCTGCCCAGCTGCTCTGTGGGTCCCTTGCTCACTGGGGCATTCTCTGTCTCTCTCTCGGGGATACCTGAGGTAGCCAACACAGAAGCGTTTGGATCAGTGCAGCAGTACGGTTGCTTTTCCCAAAAGGCAGGTGTATATAATACCAAGGTCAGAAAGGGTCAAGGTTCAATGACCAAGACCAAAACCAAGACCAAAAAAAGATAGAAACCCCTAAAGGAGAGAGGGACAGACGAACAGAGTCCCCAGAGAGCCCCATAATCGCTCAGCACCTATAAAATGGGGGCAGTCATATCCCTTTCCAGTCAAACTCAGAGAAAGGCAGTTAGTTACCAGGATCCAAATCCATTAGGGACTTTTGGGAGATACCTCTGAGGTAGGCGTTTCTGTCCTTCCACACCCAGAAGGCCTCATTCCTGGTCTCTGACTACCCCCCAGAGCCCACCATGCCCAGAACGCTTATTTCCTCTCATTTTTGTGGTACCATTCTCCCCACAACAACTGGGAAAGAAATCTGGGTCACCAGGCCCCTGGTGGAGCAACTATTAGAGACCCCTCTATTCCCCAAGAGGAACCAAAGGTCTCCAGCTCTCTTACACAGCCCCCTATTCCCTCCTCTGGATGGAGACCTTCCACCACCCATGAATTTGGAATCAAGGTCCACAGCCCTCTTGGGAGACAGGAGTTCTGAGACTCCAGAGATCCTTCCTCCCCCCAATGAAAATTCAAAGCCCCCTTTGTATGCAGGCCTATCCCCCCACCCCACAGAAACCCAGACCTTATACCCCTTTGTGGCTCAGAAGCCCAAGGATTCCAGCTCCCTGGGGAACCCAGACCCCCTCCTCCATGCTAGAGTCCCCGGTGTGATAGAGACCTCCTTCATCAGGAATCAGGGCTTCCACCTCCTCTCCCCCTGGAGGACTAGACACCTAATAGATCCAGTTTCTACTCTTTGGAGACCAAGATATATCCCCTTGGAGGAGTCCCAAACCCTCAACTCCCTTCAGGAGTTCAGGAGTCTAGGAGTCTGAGGGTCACACCCCCTGGTCCCCCAGAGAAATCAGGAGTCATGTCCCCCGAACTCTATTCCCCTTCAGGACCCAGGAATCCTGGTGACGAGAAGTCACACATTCCAACCGGTAGTCAGAACCCTCATCGCCTTCAAGCACCCAGGATTCTGAGTGGCGGCCCCCCGCGCCCCACCCCCCACCCCCCGCTCTGTGACCTCACAAGCCCAGACATCACATACTAGCATGCCAGCGTCTGGATCACCACGCCCTCTCCCTCATACGGCGACTTGCAGTCCTCAACCCCTGACCAAGCCGAGCAGCCGGGACACGGGGCACCCCGGAAGCCCCAGCCCTCAACCCACCCCTCACTGTGCGGGCACCTGCGGTGCCAGCACTGCTTCGGCGTCGGTCCGCATCTCGTCGAGCGCCTGCAGCAGGACGCCGTGCGCCGCGCGGTAGCCCAGGCCCCCAGCGCCGCGCCCCCGGCGGTGCCCTCGCCCGCCCACGAGCCCAGCCTCGCTTCCACTTCGGCGCGCGTCACCGGACCCGGGAAGCGTGTCCGCTCGGCCAGCTCCCCCGGCGCCAGGCCCAGCGCGCGCTCGCGTCGTGCCAGCGCCGCGGGTTCGAGCCCCAGCGACCGCCGCCACTCGGCCAGCTGACCTCGCAGGAGCGCCACGTCGCAGGCCCAGCCCAGCCCCGGTACCGGGGCCGCCGCCGCCGCCAGGCTAGCCAACAGGGCCGGCCGCCACGCCCCGGCCCGCAGCGCCGCAGCCTTGGTCCGGGCCGCGCGGGGAGACGCGGGTGGCAGAGCCAGAAGCAGCGCCCCGGCCTGGGCCGGGGGTAGCGCACGCCGCAGCCACTCGCACAGACCCGGGAGGCCGCCCGGCCGCAGCGGGAAGACCGGCGGCGGCGCCTCCTCCAGCACCTCCCACGTCTCGTCTTCCGGGCTCAGTGCGGCCGCGCGCTCTGAGTCCCCGCTGCCCGGTTTCTTCACGCCGACGCCAACAGGCTGCAAACTCTCGCTGCCTGCGTCCTCTGAACCTTCCCCACTGCCTGCTTTCTGCGATCCAGGGCCACGTTTCTCCCTTCCCTCACTGCGTGCATTCTCAAACCCCCCTCCGCCTGCGTTCTCTAAGCTCTTGCCGCTCTTTTCCTCTTCGTCCAGGGACTCCGGATCCTCGCCCTCGCCGTCTGTTCGCACGCAGACCAGCGGCGTATCTGGTAGCACCAAGGGCCGGACTTGGGCCCAGTCCTTCTCAGTGGGGGCCCCAGGGGTGACAAGGATGAGAGCGTAGTAGTGGGTTGGGTGGGGGGCAGCAGCAGTGCCCGAGGAGCCCAGAGGCACGGTCCAGAGCACCACGTTGGGGCGCTCTGGGGCCGGGTAGGGCATGGGCTCCGCGGGCACCGAAGCAGGCACCGCACCTGGGTCGTCAGGATCTAACCCGAGTAGCATGTTCAGCACAAGGCTCACGTCAGCCCTACCGGCCACGGCCAGGTCCAGGCGTGCGCTGCCTAGTCGCTCCAGGCCGGCCCGAACCCATGACAGCGCCGCCTCCAGGCCACCCGTCTCGAAGGCCTCGCGCACAGCCTCCAACTCTGCAGCGCCCAGCACCTCGAAGCCATCCTGAGCCGGTGGCAGGAGCCTGCGGGGAAAGGGAGGGATGGGGTCAAAGGCAGAAGAGGGGCTAAATGCTGGCGAGCTGGGCTAGGGGGACAGGACTGGGCTATGATGACAAGGCGGAGCTTTCTGAATAATCAGGAAAGGGAGGGGCCAGACTAATGGCACAGAAACAATCAGAGGCTATGAAGAAAAGGGAAGGGCTTAAAGAAGGGGTGGGACGGCTGGATTGAAATCAGAAATCAGGTTGCCAACAGAGTCGAAAATGGGGACCCGGCTAAGCCTTCCCCGGGGTTACACTCTGCGGGAGCGGGTCTTTCCGAGGGACCTGCAGGATTAAGAAAAAGCCCTGCTGGGCGGGGCAAAACTCATAGAGAGTGGAGTTTGGAGCAAAGAAAGAATGGCGACTGTATTGAGGACTAAACGAAAATCGAGCCCTATTCGACAAGGGCAAGGTCACCAAGGGCGCTCTTTCCTGAGACTAGGAGTTAGGAGGGCTGTAAAGACAGGTGAGGGGAGAACCCTCATCTACTAGTTCTTACCAAGGGCGTGTGGCTAAGGAAGAAAGACGAGTGGTGGGCCTGGGGGAGAGGCTGCCCCTCCCTGAGCCTCGTTTTGACGTCTATAAAAGGGGTTGGGGTTGGGGGAGAAAATTCAGGAGGTAGCCAGCAAGTGGACACAGAAGCGAAAGGGGATTAGAAAAAGGAAGTGGGGGAGGGCCCCCGAAACGACAAAGCTCGCTTAGGGTGTGGCTCTCCGGAGACTGGGGTCGCTTGAGAACCAAGCAGATGGTGAGCAGGAGGGTGAAGACTGGAGAGTGGAGTCTTCGGGTAAAAGCTTCGCGGGGATCACCAGCTTGCCTGGCGAGAGTGAGCCTTCGTTCACACTTTGGCCTGGGGGCAGTGTTTGGGCGCTAGGTCCCGGTCCCTCCTAGAATTCTCGCGAGGGAGCGGGAGCTCATGACCTCAGAGCGCTCGCAGGAGGCGGAACCTGGAATGACATGTCCAGACTTCTAGCTGACCCTTGGCCTAGATGATAGAAGAGGGTCAAGCACAGAGCGCTAGTTTGAGGTGGAACCTCGTGGACCTCAAAACCTGCGCTGAGGGTCGGGATTTGGACGAGGAAGCAGGGCTTCCAGCAGATATCCCGTTAAGGTTGGCCCCAAACTCGCTGAGGGTGGGGTCTCGCAGACCTCAAAGAGCACCTTAGGGGTGGAAGGTACAGACTAAACAAAGCACCAGTCCTCTTCAACCCACCCTGAAACGCCGCGCTCACCTCTGCAGCGCCTCCGCCTGGCTCCGCAGCGCCGCCCGCAGGCGCTCCAGCTCCTCGCAGCCGTCGCTGCTGCGGCAGTCGGTCTGTAGCACAAAGAGAGCTGCGGCGCCCAACCCGGCGCTGTCCAGCCGGGCTGCGGTCTGATCCCGGGCCTGGGCTACATGCTGTGACTCCTCGGGACGGAGGTTCCGCACAGCCAGCAGGGGTGTCCCTCGGGCCAGGGCGGCCCGCGCTGCCTCCCCCAGTGCTGGGGCCAAGGGTTCCTCATTCCCCTCGGGGCCGGGCAGCACCAATACCAGCACGTTGGCTTCCGCCGCCCAGGGACCCGGCGCTGCGGGTGGGCAGCTCAGCTCGCCCAGGAAGAGGCCTGGGCCTGCAGCTCTCAGGCTGGGGAGCCCGGAATCCGGCCGTCCGTCGGGGATCTCTACCGTCTCCACATCCTTGTCGCACAGCGCTGCGATCACAGCAGACTTTCCCGAGCCCGGAGGCCCCAGGAATAAGACGGTCACGTCACCCCGCGGCGGAGGCATGGCTGGAAAGTGGGGAGAGAGGAAGACCCGGGTCACGGAGCACCCAACCTTTTTCTTTCCTAGCTTCCCCACTCTGGTCTCAGACTTCAGCCTTTTACCCTGTCCACTTCTTTCGTTCTCGGGTATCACTCCCAGGCACCTAGAAATCTGGCGCCCAGGCCCTATTCCCCAGGGACCTGGGAGTCCTGTCCGCCCTCTTTCTGAATGCGTTTCCCTTTACGCTTCAAAAACTCAGAAATCGCCCTCTAGTCCCCTCCTCCCTCAGGGACACAGATGTTTTTACCCCTCACTCCTCCCTTCCAAATCACCGACCGAGCAAACAGCTGGCACACGGGACTGCGCAGTCGGTAGCAGTCGGTCAGCCGCTGAGAAGCTCTGCCTCTGGGGTCCGAGGACGGAGGCCCATGAGGCTAAAGCGCCGGGATTTGGGGATGTCCAGACCCTTTCCGGGGGCTCTAACCTGACGTCATTCCTTTTAGGAGGGGGTGTGTCTCGAAAGCGTAACCTCGGGGACAGGGCCCTCTGCAGCGCCTGCGCAGAACGGCCGAAGGGCGCTCTCTCTCTCTCTCTCTCTCTCTCTCTCTCCCCTCGGCCGTCGCCGAACCTTGAACAATGAGGGAGCCAAAGCGCGTGCGCACCAGGAGCGCCTAACACACTTGCGCAACAAGCTTAGGTCTGCACTGAAAAGGAGGCTTGCAACGTCATCATTACGCGCCCCAGTGCAGAGAAGGACCCCTCCCATTATTTTGAGGACTGGGTTGGCGCGACTGAATCAGTGCAGTCGGATGGCAACCCGAGATCTGGGCTTCGAAAGGCTCATCAGGCGAAAGGCCCCGTGGAAACCACCGGGACTTTGAGACTCGGTGGGCCCTACCCCGCTTCCCTTCGGGTGACGGTGCTGTGACGACCAACTGACAGGCGCAACGAAAGGCAGCCCTCTGCTGTCTGGAGAAAAGCAGAGGCCTGGGCTACCAGCCTCGGGAGGGAGCCGAGGGCAGTGGTTGGGGCAGCGGGTCACAGCGGCTGAAAGCGCGCGTGGGAAGCGGGGGTTCTAGGTGCAATAAGAGTTTCGGGATGTCAGAGAAAGATGTCTCCCGGAAGGAGGCAGGCTAAAGCGTGGGTACCACTACCTGCCTCAAGACAGGTGGGAGAGAAGGGTCCCGCGCTCTGAGTTCAGGGAGTTAGTTTGATGTAGGAGGCATAGGTGCGTGAGAAGGCTCTAAGGGGAGTCACAAACCCGGGGAGTTGAATTTTCTGGGAGGACTGAATCTTCTCTAGCGAGCTGCTCTATCAGGTTAGAATTCAAGGAGGTGTTATCTCGTGGGGGGTCGGCCAAAGGCTGGCAAAGCCAAGCCTGTCAAAGGTCACAGGATTGGCGGGCCCTCTAAGACTCGCTGTAGATAAGCGACTTCACTTGATTTACTGTTCTGTCATGCGTGCTCCTCTCTTGACCAGAGGGGTCTCAGTCACCATGGAGGACCGGCACCCCAAAGAGACCATGGAGCAGCAGGATCCGTCCAAGGAGAGAAGTCCCCAAAGTCCGGGAGGTGACATCTGTGAGTACTGCTGACCAGAGATGGGTGGGGTGCAGGAGCTGTGATGCTAAAAGGATTTCTATAGCATTTCAGTGTCCAGGGCGTTGCGGGGATTTGCCTGTTGGGAAGGAGCTGTTAATGGTCCCTGAGCTGCTCTCCCAGGACCTGCTACTCCCCACCCCTACCCTTATTACCCTCAGACGTACCCATCCTGCTCTATCCACATAAACATGAATGGGATGCAGTTCAGAGGCACAGAGTGGCATCCAGAGGCTTGGGGTGGGAGAGGTGGCTGGGAAAGGGCAGAGAGCCCCAGTCCCAACTCTGCCCCAGACTTTCAGTGTGACTTGGGCCTCAGTTTCCCTATCTGTCAAAAGGGCTTGCCACTATTCACCTCACGGGGCTGGCTGGTATGGGGTTTAGCGGCAGAAAAGGGGAAAGCTTAATGTTAATGAAGGTAGCCAACTTGACCTAGGATAATAGGAACACTTCTACTGAATGCTTATTATGTGCTAGGTGCATTCTAAGAGTTTAACATTTGTTATCTCATTCCGTCCTCCTAACAGACTCTGTGAAATTGGTAATTATCACTTTCACATGAGGGAACCGAGGCAAAGAGAGGTTAAGTATTTATAAGGATGAAAGCCACAGTGTCAATGCTCTCCAGCCAGAGACCACCAGGAACACACCTGGAGTTGACCAAGTTGGGCTTATTGCTCACTGCGCTGAGGAAGCACACATGCCGTGGGGCATCTCAGTAATAAGAAAGGACTTATTACAGGATTTAGGCTGTGGTAGGTGATTTGGGGAAGGGTTCAAAAAAGGGGTTTTGCTGTGGATGGATGCTGCCAGGAAGCAGGGGCAATTACATGGCTGGCTATCTTAATACCTAGAAGGAGGGAGGAACAAAGCAAGGCTCCAGGTATGATTGGTAAAGCAGCAGCAGGCACTCATATTAGCCACGACGGTCGGGGGCGGGTGTCTGGCCATTTTCGTGGCTTGGACAGTGTTCATGTTTTGTCTGTGTTTAGAAGGCATCATGGCATGGTCTTGTCTTGATTCGTCTCATTCACAGCATGGCCTTGTCTGACGATGTTCTGTGAAATTGTTTATGCTGAACAGAACACCAAGGCCTAGCTGTGAGTGCCAGGCCAGCTCCTAGCTGTGGGGCTTCTTTTCTCAACAATAATTATTGCAAACCATTGCGTAGCACTGTTCTATGCACTTTTTATACGTTAATTCGTTTATTCCTTACAACAGCCCTATAAAGTAGATACTGATATGGTCATTACCCCATTTTCCAGATGAAAACGCCGTTTCTACTTGCCTCGGAAGTGGTAGAACCAGGAGTCAGTTCCAGGCAGTCTGGCTCCAGAGGCTGTGCTCTAATCACATGGCTCTGTAGGAAGGGCAGACTCCCTGGGTTCCAGTCCTGACTCCGCCATTTCATTTCCTAGCTTCATGACTGTCGGCAAGTTACCTAACCTTTTTGAGCCTCAGTCTGCTCATCCGTAAAACAGGTCCAGTAAGTCTGCTGTCCAGGCCTGGCATAGCACCTGGCACATAGTAAGCCCTGCATGCTCACTGTTGTTGCGATTCTGAGGCTGGGAGAGGCCCTCGAGACTCCTGCTGGCCTCCCCCAACCTCTTCTCATGTCCCTCAGGCCACTTGGGGGCACTACAGTGCACCCGCTGCCTCATCACCTTCGCAGACTCCAAGTTCCAGGAGCGTCACATGAAGCGGGAGCACCCAGCGGACTTCGTGGCCCAGAAGCTGCAGGGGGTCCTCTTCATCTGCTTCACGTGCGCCCGCTCCTTCCCCTCCTCCAAGGCCCTGATCACCCACCAGCGCAGCCACGGTCCGGCGGCCAGGCCCTCCCAGCCGGTTGCGCCCACCACCACGCCACCCACCTTCCCCTGTCCTGACTGTGGCAAGACCTTTGGGCAGGCCGCTTCTCTGAGGCGGCATCGCCAGGCGCACGAGGCCCACCCCTTTCCTGGCCCCTTCGCCTGCACTGAGTGCGGGCAGGACTTTGCCCAGGAAGCAGGGCTGCATCAGCACTACATCCGGCATGCCCGGGGGGAGCTCTGAGTGTGGCTCCAGCCCTCCCTACGGCAATGGAAGCTCTGTGGCTGGTGGGACACCCATCTGATATGGGATGGGAGGGATTTACTTTCCTCCCTGGAAAGGCAAAGGACTCCTGATCAGTAGGACCCAGAAGATGCTCATTTAGAGCTTCCGTCCTTGGAGGGCACAAAAAGCCTTCAGGGAAACAGTAAAATCAAACAGTGAGAAAGAAAGAAAGAGGGAAATTTGTTATTTGTATCTTCCTCGTTCCCAATTAAATAGTTTGAAATCATAACTAGCTGCAGATTGTATCACCATTAATTCTTCCCAGATGGAGGCAATGGGGCTGCAAGAGCCAAGTGCCTGGATCTGGGCCTGAATCGGGGAGGGAAAGTGAGGTGTTGCCTGCCTGTAATGCCACCGAATGGGGCTCACACGTTGAGCAACTTGAGCCTTTGGGGATGGGACAGCAAAGTCGGAGGCTGCACTGAGTCATGTGAGGGTTGCAACCTGGGCCCTTGTCTCTTCCCACCCCCTGCCAGCCTTTCCCACTCAAGGCGGGGCCGTGGCATTGGATGGCTCTGCTTTCCTCCTCCCCAGATAATTTATTGTTCATTTAAATAATTTTTTGTACCATTCTGGTCACGGAATATTTTTTGTATGTGTAGGTGAGATGGCATGAATAAACTAACAGAAATAGTATCTAAAAACAAAAGGTCCATAATAAAATGTCTAAACAAGGAACTCTGGCTTTTGAGCAGGAATTCCCAGAGAACATAAGGGCATTGGGGAGTGGGGAGCTCAGGGCAGACCTGGCCTGGGCCCTGTGGGGAAACTGGTTTGGAGTCAGAGATACCTTCTGTTTCCTGTTGTATTTGGCCAACACATGGAGATATTCCATTAAGATCCTATTTTCAGCTCTTGAAAGGCCCAACCCTGGGCTGAGTTCCACTGGACCAGTTTTACTCCCTTGCATTACCTGCCCTGCCCCTAGAGACGATGGTCGATGCCCTGCATACAATAACCACAGACTCTGTTTGAATTGAGGGATATTTTGAAAGCCCACAGGTGAGATGGATATGGTAGAGACTGAGCTATCTCCCACTTTTTAGCTAGGCACACGATGGCTACAAAGACTGCCTTTCCCAGATTTCCTTGCAGCTAGATGTGGCCATGTGACTGAGCTCTGACTAAATTCCTGGGTAGAGTCCTCAAGCTTCAGAAAGGAACCTGCCTTTACTCCACCTTCCGACCTGGAACGTGGACATGGTATCGAGCCATCTGGGACCATGAGAGCGACAACAGGATGGCAGAGGAAGAGGACAGCAGGAGGCTGGGTCTGCTATCACTACTGCTCCCCCCACCCTTCCAGTCTCTCTACTACAGACCACCCCCTGTGTATATGTAAGTCAGCTTATATCACTCCTCATTCAAAACCCTCCAACAGCATCCCATAAGTAACATCCAAAGGCCTTACCCAGGCCCACAAAACCCAACAATGCCTAGGTCCCAGCCCATTAAGCAATCTCAACTCCCTCCCAGTTCTGTCTTTTTCACTACACTCTAGCCACACATGCCAGGCTGACATCTGCCTCAGAGCCTTTACACTTGCTGTTCCCTCTTACCCAGAACTTTGCAAGGCTGCCTCCTCATTATTCAGGTCTCAATACCTGCCACTTCAGAGAGGTCCTCCTTGGCTAAAACAGCACCTCCAACCCTTAGCCTGATTTAGTTTATTCCCAGCACTCTTCAACACTTGGAATTATCACACCTGTGTTTCTGTCATCATCTGTGTCCTTCCTCTAGAACACAAGCTTCTGAGGGCAAGTGGGTTGTCTTCCTCATTGCTTCATCCCCAATACCTAGGACAGCGCTTGCCATGGAGGCTCAAGAAAGAACTTGACTGAGCCCAGTTGTTTACCTATTTGTCAGCCTCAGCCCACCCTTCCACACTGCTCCATGAGGCTGGGCTTTCTGCAGCTATGCTTCCCAGACTCCCTGGAAAGCTGGCTTCCTTAAGTTCATCCCACAAGAGGTATGGGCAGAAGGAAGGTCGGAAGAGGGGAGAAGCGACTCACCTTGCCTTAGGCTCCTGCTGGCACCCCTCTAGCAGCAGTTTGGGCTCCAATACCTTTCTACACTCTCAGCACAAGGCACCGTGCCCCTCTTGGGGTTTAAGCAGCAGCTGTGTGGTAGCCAGTCCCTGCACCAGCCATACACGTGGCGTGGCCTGCTCACCAAGCTCCCACTGGGTTCTGGTCATTGCGCTTCTCTTTCTGCATCCCAGTCCTAGAGGTGGGAGCTTCTCGCAGACACTAATTTCTCAGTTACCTCACTTTTCCATGTTTGTGCTCTCAGCGTTTTAGTACCTGTGTAACCAATTCCCGGTACTGAGTCCTCTGGAATTCCTGGCTTGGTCTCCATACCCTGCCTGGGCCCTGAAGAACTGAATGACCCCACTGGCAGGAGACTAGGTCTCTTGATTCCCAGTCTCTCGTGATCCTTAGGAACTTCTGATGATGAATGGATAATCTGCTACTTCTGTGCTTAGAAAAAGCCCAGTCTTAGGGCAGAAGAGGGCTTAGGCATGCTGCTCCAGGAAATAAGATCCATCCATGTTGTTTTAATGAGCTGTGAATTTCTGCTTTGATGATTCTGAGACTCAATGATGCTAAACTAAGCTATAGTTATGAAAGTCTCAAAGAGTGCATAAATATAAGATTCTGAGCTTCTAGGATGAAAAGTATGGGTTTTGAAAGATGCTTTGGTCAAGGTCCTGTAACAGGCATCAGAATGTAAATGCTCTTTGGGGCCAAGCAGGTACCATAAATCAGTGAGGCAAGCAGGGTGTAAGGGGTCCAGATGCCAGGCAGTGGGGACTGGGCATGCGGGAGGGAATGCCCCATTAATAGGAGGTGACCCCTACTCAGCTCCAGCAAACTACTGCCCCATGGGATTGTGGGTTCAGCTATCAATCTCACAAGGAAGCCAGAAACTTCCATTTTTGTGTCAAACCTGCCCATTTTTAAATGTTGGTAACCAACGTGATTAAAAAAAACCCTCAATAACTCTGGAGACCAAATACACTCCTGCAAGTCAGATGGTGGCTGTGGAGAGCCATTTCTGGTGTGTGGCTTAGTGGCTAAGAATGGGTGCCTTAGCTCTAGTTGTCTGGATTCAAACCTGGCCTCTGCTTCTTCCCAGCTGTGTGACCTCTAGAAGATTACTCAACCTCTCTGTGCCCTGGTTGTAGCAGTTGTAAAATGGTCGTGATAGTCGCCCCTACGCCTCTAAGAATTATGATGACGACGACACACTCGGAGAGAAAGTCAGAGTCGGTATTAATGGCCTGTGTGACCCGGTCCTCTTCCCCTCTGCTTTTCTCTGCCCGTCTCTGCTCTTGTGTTCCCACCAGTCTTCCCCCTGCCTTCCTCAGCAACAGCCTTGTGGCCCCAAGTGCTCTTCAACAAACATCCCAAGCAGGTTCCACCTCAGGGCCTTTGCACTTGCTGTTCCCACAGCCACATGGCCCGTTCCTCCTCCTCTAGATCTCTGCTTTGACGTCACCTTTTTAGTGAAGCCTTTCCTGACTACCCCGTTTGAAACTGCTTCTCACACACACACAAGCCTCCCCATCCCCCTTCTCTTTTCCTCCACAGCACTTATAACCTTCTAACATTCTAAACGTTTTACTTAAATATTCAAGTATCTGTTTTCCCCTTTATAATATAGCCTCCACAAAGGCAGGGATTTTTGTTCATTTGTGTTCACCACTCTACTCCCAGCTCCCCAAATAGGGCCTGCATCTCCTAGGTATTCAATAAATCACTGCTGAATGAATGAGTAATAAGTAACAGTCCCTACCTCATAAGGATCCGATGTGATCGTCCATATAAAGCGCTTAGCCCAGGGCCTGGTCCGCTGTGAGCCATTATGGTAATTCAGGTTCTATTCTTGAAGGTTCTTAGTTGCCAAGCTTCTATGAGTTAACACATGTAAAGCGCCTTAGAACAGAGCTTGGCACACAGTAAATGCTCAGTAAATGGTAGCTATTATTATAATTAGGCCTCTATTTTCAAAGGAGCTTCAGTGCCGAGCTTCTGTGAATTAGTACTTCCCATCTCAGAGCAAGAGCCTGTGTTTCCACAAGGCTGTAATAAGCTGACCCTCTGTTCCCCTCTGACCTCATCCCTCCAGCCACTCTTGCCTAATTGACCTCTCCCCCCCCCCCCCCCCCCCCCCAGCCCCTCTTGCCTAATTGACACGTGGGGCAGGCTCCTGCCCCCCCCCCCACACCAGATCGCTCTTCCCACCCGTGTGCCAGGCTCCCTCCCTCCCTTTCTCAGGTCTCTGCTTAGGTCTCTGTCACCTCCTCAGGGAGGACTACACTATTTAAAACTGCACCCTCTTCCAGAACTGTTCCCCCTTCTCCTCTCTATTTTTCTCCACAACACTTACATCCAGCATATGTTACATCCTTCTTGTTTACTTTTTGTTTACTATCTGTCCCCACCGGTGGCCCCCTCCCACCTCCATGTAAGCTCCATGAGGACAAAGATTTTATTTTATTCACTGGTGTGTTCCCAATGCTTAGCACACAGCAAGTATTCAAAAGATATTTGTTAAATGAATTAATGCATCACAGTCCCTACCTCGCAGAGTTATTCTAAGGACCCGATGATCTCATGTAAATAAAATGCAGCACTCTGTAAGTGCTGGGAAAATGGCAGCTGTAATTATAATTAAAGTTCTATTTTTGTAAGTTCCTAGATGCACAACTTCTCTAAGTCAATATACATAAAGCTCTTGGACTGGCACTTGGCACCCAGGAAGCGCTCAGGAAGCAGAGCTGTGATTATAATTAAAGTCCTCTTTGTGAAGGTTCTTGGATGAAGTGGCAGAGAGCATGAGCTGTCTTCCAGAAACCATTTTCTGGGCACTTGGCTAGACCGCCTTTCCCAGACTCCCTTGCAGCAGGCTGTGGCCACGTGACTAATCTCTCAGCAAAGGGACATAAGTGGAAGCACTGTGTGCCACCTCCAGGCTGGGGCTTCTAAGAGAACGTGTGTACCTCTCCAGGCTCTCTTTCATCTTCCTCTGGCAGAACCCAGGCCATGGACACCCAGCCATGACCATGTGAATGCCAAAAGGCTTACAGGATGGCCTGCGTCCCCAAATCACCATATGAAGGTTACCTGCCAACCTGAAACACCCATCCTGGACTATGACGTGAGCAAAAAATTCTGTTGTGTGTGAGCCTGTGCATCACGGGGTCCATGATGAAATAATG